CTGGGAGCTGGAGTCTGACGTCACATTCCTGCGCCGTCCACTTTACCATTTCGTTTTCGAGTTGGTTTGAATTATGATCACTTTTTAGCACGGCAAGTTTGAAAACGAAAAACCAAAGACCTTTTAGTTTTCATTTGAATGATGTCATACAATATGCATACATAGAGAGTAAAAGTATAATGCAAACTGGATGACTGAATATTAATTTTAAATATAGGTCAAATAATGCACCCATATTCTGAAAATTAAAAAGCATTTCTGTTAATGCATTTGAATTTTCAAATTAGCTTTATCATTTGAATTTTGATCACTAATTGCTTCCATAGGTCTCGACTATGTTTAACATTAAACTCTCAATCTGCCCAACAACAGGGGTTACTGATACCCACCCCCTTCCTTTGATTCTACTATAAAAGCGTGTTTTCTCTTTGTCTTCTTTGAACTTTACTGCAGACTGTCCTTACACTCTGTAGTTTTGCTCCTTCTACTTGCATGACAGGGTCTTGATCCGGTGGTCCTTCATCCACACCTTGATTGACTTAGCTGTGTGGCATGGAACATTGTCCTGCTGGAAAAAAACAATCCTCAGAGTTGGGAACATTGTCAGAGCAGAAGGAAGCAAGTTTTCTTCCAGGACAACCTGTACGTGGCTTGATTCATGCGCCCTACGCATCTTCCTGATTCCAGCCCTGCTGAAGCACTCCCAGACCATCACCGATCCTCCACCAAATTTCACAGTGGGTGCGATACACTGTGGCTTGTAGGCCTCTCCAGGTCTCCGTCTAACCATTACACAACCAGGTGTTGGGAAAAGCTGAAAATTGGACTCATCAGAGAAGATGACCTTACTCCAGTCCTCTATGGTCCAATCATTATGGTCTTTTGCAAACCTCAGCCTGGCTCTTCTTTGCTTCTCATTGATGAAGGGCTTTTTTCTAGCTTTACACGACTTGAGCCTTGCCCCTAGGAGCCTGTTTCTAAACGTTCTCACCATGCACCTCACCCCAGTGAGGAGTGGAGAGTCGTTTTCGCCCTCTGACGGTCTGTAGCTTTGTTGTCCCCAATGTCTGCTGCTTGACCTTGTTCTAATATCGTCTTGGAATTTTTAAGGATGGAAGCAACCTGAAGCTCACTGTATCCCTCTGCCAGTAAAGCCAGAATTTAACCCTTCTTTTTCTCACTCAAAACTTTTATTTTCAACTCTTTTGGCATGGTCATTAGGTATCTTTTTTATTCCAATTACTTTTGAGGTACTACTAGCACTGTTTTTGCCATCCAGCTGGTCCTATTGAAAGAGGATAGTGATGACCACAGCAGTGGGTTTTATACTTTTCCTCTTTTAATAAGATTTGGTTCAGTGATCACCTATACAGTACCTCATTGAATGAGGTTTGCTTGTGTTGGAATTCAACAGGCACTGGAATGGAAGGCTTTCATCATGCAGAGATGCTTTTTTTCAGAAAAAATTGCAGTGGTCTCTTAATTTTTTCCAGAGCTGTATCTATATATCTCTATCTATATATCTATATCTATATCTATATATATAATAATAAAATACTTTAAAAACAAGTATACTTGTTTTTAAAGTATTTATTAGTCTTCATTTATACACAAACATTTTATTCCGTTAATATAAGTTTTTTATTTGTGACAATTCAATTGCATGATTTCCGGAGCTTTATTTTGAAAATCAGAAGCTCAGGGGGCGCGGCTTCAGACCACCAGGCTGACACCCAGACATACAGTCTTGTTTATTTCCGTCTCTTTCACAGATACCACGTGTGTCTGTAACTTTGTAGGTTATCAGAGTATCGTCAGTGTTGAGTTTTTCTTCTGTGACTCTTGGATGTGTGTCAGATGTCCGGGTTTCAGGATCTTAAAGATTTGTTCAGACGGCGGCTGCTCGCTGCGGTTATCAGAGATATATCAGAAACAACAACATGTGGATACGAAGAGGAGCTCCACCGACCAAGAAAAGTGCTGGATGTGATTTTAATACCTGAAATCAAGCTGCAGAGAGCAGGTAGGTTTTCTTTCCACTGCTGGAAACGTGTTTCCTGCTTATGTTTCAGGGAGCAGAGCCTTTAGTCCATAGACGCACACAGCACAGTGTTAGCCGCAGCTAGCTCCTGCTAACAACATCATTCACTTTACTTAAAGACTCTTTTGTAACAAACCACATGACGTTTTTTTGTAGGCAAACCCTGAAGTAGCATCACAGACTTAACCCTGTCACCTTCGAAGAATGAACCAAGAACACAGTGGAAACAAATCTGTTATATCCGTTGAAAGATAAGTAAAGGATAATTATTCATTAATTATCAGGCTGGCTGGGCTCAGCCTTAGAGATAGGGTGAGGAGCTCGGAGTAGAGCCGCTGCTCCTCCGCATCGAAAGGAGCCAGTTGAGGTGGTTTGGTTACTGTTACAACTAGAACCGCCAAGACCATCTGACGGTCGGTTTGGGTTTTTATAATACAAATAACTCTTTTTAAATAAAAACTACGAGCCTTTCATCCATTGACTTTTCTTAAATATGTGTCCTGTATGTTTTCTGAAGCCTATGTGTAACTAAAATAAAACAAGATTTCTGAGCACCGCCACCGCCGTCACATGGACAGTTGAAAATGATACATTTCTTTGGATTGTTTTCGCGCTTCATTTTATTTTTTATTAGTTATTGTTTCTATTTATAGAGTTCATGTATATGGGGACAGATAGATAGAGACCATAGACAGATAGATACATGCTCATTCTTGAGCTGGCAAAGGAACAGAGAGAGGAACACCTGCATGTCAAGGCCAGTCTGACGTCGGTGCCCACTGAGCCACAGCATCCACAAGAGCTGAGAAGGAGCAAGAAAATATGACCATTGTCTCCTGCAAGGGGTGCAGGCACCCTGTGAGTGGGAAGTGCACCGTAAAGGTTGAGCACTTGTGCCGATTGTTCAATTGTTCATCTGTTTGTTTGTTCACCGCTGCTTATGGAGTTCTGCAGTTCTTTTTGTAGGCTATATAGTTTGTCATGCCCATAGATAGTCGTGTTTTTGTTGTTTTTGGCGTGTGTGTGTGTGTTGGTCAATGATGTCGGGGAAACAAACCCAGTTGCAGAGAAGAGGAGGAGCATCGGTGTTTATCTCTTTTTTTTGCAGTGTTTTTTTTTTAAATGCATAGCCTAATATAGCCAACAATGTTATATATTAAAAGTTATGTATGTTTCATTTTTGTAGAATGTGTTTTAGCAACGGGAGACGTGGAGCAGCAGTAAAAAATGGCGCACTAAAAAAGCCGACAGATATTGTAAATTAACATGCAACATTTAAAAGGTTACCAATCCTGCCTTATGCTGATAGTCTATTTGGTTTGTAGATAAAAGTAAGTTGTATTTAATTTCATCAAAAAAATGCATTATTTGTGTGCTTCTGAGCACAAACAATTAAATGACATATGCCGTCTCACAGACGGCTGCGGCGCTTAGAGGGGGGTCTAGAATGTTGCCGGTCCTAGTGTTAAGGATGCCTCCTGGGCGCCTACCTTTAGAGGTTTTCCAGGCACGCCCAGAATACGCTGGAGGGATTATATATCCCTTCTAGCCTGGGAACGCCTCGGAATCCCCCAGGAGGAGCTGGAAAGCGTTGCTGAGGAGAGGGAACTCTGGGTTGTTTCACTGCGCCTGCTGCCACCGCGACCTGACCTCGGATAAGCGGAAGAAAACAGATGGATGGATGGATGTACATAAATATGGTAGCTGGTGACTTAAAAGTTTTGGGGAGTGCAAGGGGAAAACCTGTCAATCATTTCACGTTACAGTATAGCCTAAACTAGAAGCTACAATTATTTTTTAAATGAAATAGAGTATAAGCAACTTCCTCTTCTTATATAAGACTTAAGCATAACCAAACTATATATCACAGTGATATCTTACACAAGAATTCTTAACAATAATAACTCCTTTATCTCATGCTCCCTGTGATTACCTCTGTCTAAGGGACTGAAGGAGACATAGTCTGAAGGAGCGAATGGACTGTCTCTGTCTCATCTCTCTCCTCTCTGAAATTGGAGGAGGTCTCCCTGTCTTGAATATGTGGCTCCAGAAATGCCAAGATGTTCATAAGCTTCCATCTCTTTCTCTCTCTACCTTCAGCTCCACTCCTCTTCTCCTTCTCTGCCTTTCTCTCCTTTCTATACTTGTCCCTTAGATACTTCCATTTGGACTGGCAACGTCCGCCTGTTATCAGATTAAATGACAAAGTGTAAGAAAAAGAAAGAAGCAAACTGACATAGCGAGGCAGCTCACGTTAAATTCTGTTAGCTATCGTTAGGTTAGCAGGAACGGCTACATACACTACTTATACACACTGACAACAGCTTGAAGGATGACAAAAAAGAAAACACTCACCAGCAACATCAAGAGTCAACCCGATCTGCTCCCACAAACGGAACTTTCTAAATATGGTAATTTTTGTTTGACATATCATAAAGTTCTGGGTGAACTGAAATGGCCAGGACCAACTTGTCCTCCATCATTGTTGGTTGCCAAGGTGACGAATACCAACCATTCAACCTTATGATTGGTTTGTTGAAAAACAGTGTTGTGCCTTTAAAATTTAAATATTTTCAACTTGAGCGCCCGGAGCGGCCACACAGAGCGCTTCTGAAAAAGACGCTGGGCTCTGCGCTTTTCTTCCAGGCAGCCGCTTTCAGCTGCAAACGGCCTCTACCAATTGAGAACAACTGCAAAAAGACGCTGGCGCTGAGAAAAAACCGCTAGGTGGACACGGGGCCTTAGGATACCAGCGCCATTTTTTTTTTTTTTACACAACCTCTTTGGCTGGTTCAAAACTTTTTTAAATACTAAATAAGTGAATTCCAAACATGATTAAAATGTGATCAATTCCAATTGACTGTTGATTTTCAGCCATTAAAAATGAAATCATTTGACAGCCCTTATTCATATTAAAAAATCAGTCTAAGTACCGTTAATGTTTGTTTACTGTGTCCTGCAGATGTCCAGCAGCTGTTAGTGAGTAAAGAAGAGCTTCCACCTGAGCAGCAGGAGTGGAGCCACATTCTGGACCAGGAGGACACCAAGCCCCAACACATTAAAGAAGAACATGAGGAACTGTGGATCAGTCAGAAGGAAGAACAGCTTCAAGGACTGGAGGAGGATGATACCACCAAGTTCCCCTTCACTCCTGTCTCTGTGAAGAGTGAAGATGATGAAGAGAAACCTCAGTCCTCACAGCTTCATCAGAGACAAACTGAACAGATGGAAACAGGAGTTGATGGAGAGGACTGTGGAGGAGCAGAACCAGAGAGGTACTCAGATCCAGAGAGACGTTTACAACCAGAGACTGAGGTCGAGACTGGAGACTCTGATGAATCTGAGACTGATGACAGTGATGATTGGCAAGAGACAAGAGAAGATCTGTCAGAATTAACGCATAGGTGCTCTGAGTGTGGTAAAAGATTTAACCAAAAAGGGAATCTGACCAGTCACATGATGATTCACACAGGAGAGAAACCCTTCAGCTGCTCTGAGTGTGCGAAAAGGTTTAGTTCTAAGGGAAATCTGACTAGACACATGATGATTCACAGAGAGAAACGCTACAGCTGTTCTCAGTGTGAGAAAAGATTTACCCGTAAGGCTGGTTTGACAGATCACATGGCAAATCACAGAGAGGAGAAACCCTTCAGCTGCCTTGAGTGCGGTAAAAGATTTAACCAGAAAAAGGTTCTGACCAGACACATGTTAGTTCATACAGGAAAGAACCACTTCAGCTGCCTTGAGTGTGGTAAAGATTTTCTCCTAAGAGAGGGTCTGACCAGACACATGTTAGTTCACACAGGAGAGAAACCCTACAGCTGCTCACAATGTGAGAAAAGGTTTACCGATAAGTCTAGTTTGACATATCACATGGCAATTCACAGAGGGGAGAAATCCTTCAGCTGCCTTGAGTGCGGAAAAAGATTCTACCGAAAAAAAGTTCTGACCAGGCACATGTTAAGGCATACCGGAGAGAAACCCTTCAGTTGCTCTGAGTGTGGTAAAAGATTCAACCGAAAAGATCTTGTGACCCAACACATGTTAGTTCACACAGGAGAGAAACCCTTCGGCTGCTCTGAGTGTGGTAAAAGGTTTAATTCTAAGATAAATTTGACCACACACATGATGATTCACGCTGGAGAGAAATGCTAATCCAGTGCAATGGTAAAAGTGATCCAAAGAAATTCAAGTTAACAACATCACTAATGTCTATTCATAAGTATGTATTGACTAACAGATGTATAACTGCTGTTATAACGGGATATAAGACAATTCTACTGACAGAAATCTGTCTCTACTTTTTTGACATTGATGTTTTGTTAATGACATGTGAACCAGTAAGTTGGGAGCAGCTATGACGTTTGAATTGAAAGGGTTTATATGAAACAGTTACAGTGAAAGGATCCTTCTTCTCTCCTGATATCTTCTCTTCTTTCTGTCACTCTGTTTCCTTGGAGGCCTCTGTGTTGGGTAACAGAAGTTCTTCAGACAGCTCATGTGTAACCTTGTAATAAATAAACTGATGTAGAGTGAGAAAGACTTTAATCTACTTGTGTTATTTTGTGTTGAGTGTCTAAAGTCTCTTTGGTAAAGAAAAGGAGTTCAGCAGATCCTGATGCAGAGCGACCACAGTCAGATCAGGTCCAGGTTGATTTCACTGAAAACCTTTAACCCTTAATAAGAATCCTGCAGTCAGAATACAAAATAAAGAAAATCTCAATGACACCTGAACATGCACAGGATTAATTAAGAGTGCAGAGGCCACTGGGCACAAAACTGCTGCAGCCTTTGATCACAAACTGAATGACAACACCTGTAGATGTCATCTGGGATTCTGGATTTACTCAACATATTATTAGAAGAAACAATAGAGTTGCATTATAGCCTTCAGTGTGTATAACTAAATGGTATATGGAAATAAACACTTCAATTGTGTGTATATTTGTTCTGCTATCATTTCTCTCTTTGGCTTCCTTTTTGCTGCTTCACTTCTTTTTATACATTTTCTGCTAAGAGGAGAACGATATCATTGATATTTCACCTACAAGCGGACTTGATTTATTTATTTCATGAAAAAAGTGACGCCAGGATGCTACAGTTGGTGGAGTTTTGAACGGCCCCTAGAGGTCAGAGGTCTCTGGCCACCGGCCCAATCAGCCCTGTGGTTAATCTGTGGAAGCACCTCAATACATTTATGTTACTGTATCAGAGAAAATACCAAGTTATACAGAAATGAACGCCAGCGCTAGACACATTGTCAAAGTATCATTCAGTTATTTTGAATTGTTTGGAGGTAACTATTATAGTAAAAAGAAAAAACATCTGGTTTAGTTACAGTGTGAACAGTACAGAGTCAACAAACCTTTAATCCCAGTCAAGTCTTGAGTCTCAAGAACTCAAGTCTGAGTCAGTGAAGATAAATCCAAGTCGAGTCCCCATTACCTGTGCCCGAGTTGAGTCCTCAAGGTTGAGTGGAAAATATTAAAGATGGCCGTAGGGCGACCTGAAGAGGGCTGTGAACAGGAAATACCTTCACAATCTGACAGATTTGGAGCTCTCTTATAAGGAAGAGAGGGCAAATAACTGCAGTCAAGCCAGCCGCTCCTCACTTTTACATGGTCAAGTGAGCTGCCCTAAATTTGAAGTGCTCATGTATTCTGATCTCTATCAGTGTTGCCAGGTCCGCTTGTTATAAACGACTTTGGGCTTGTTTTTCCGTAAAGTCGCTTGCAAATATCGTCAGTTTTTGGGCTTGTTTTCTAAAGTGCAGTTGCTTGTTAGGGCCCGAGCACGAACCTCTTGAAACCCTAGCGATTATTTGGGCTTGCTTTGCTCCCTGTATGAACCCCTACTGATTCACTCCCAACTCTCCACAATAAAGCGAAACACGATCGCAATAGTTAGTTTGTCCTTTGCCAGGATCCGTCCACAACCCTTGTTTCCTTGGTTAGCTCGCTCGCCCGATCTGACACGCCTAACACACACAACTACACCCGACAGAGCGACAGAGTGACAATGCTCGCTAATAAGGGGGGAAACATGGAAAAAAATATAATAAAGAGTGGGAGAAAGAGACAGGCTCCGACCTCAGGTGGGAGATGACTCGAAGGCATTCTGCCGATTTTATAAGTCTGAAATAGGTGCTCACCATGCAGATTTAATACAGCATGCTGATGATGCTGGCACCGAAAAGCACAAAAAAAACTTCACCAAAATCCATGAGGCTTACGGACATCGATTTCACTGTTTCAAAACAAAATGAGACAAGACAAACAAAAATAAATGTGTGTATATATATATATATATTTATATATACATATATACTGTATACATATATATATACTGTTATCAAGTGACCTCTCTTTTACACTATGTGGTAGGTTAGGTCACCTGTTGGGCTTCATTTTATGTATTTGAGGAACCAGGTCGATAACCATAGAGCTGGTTGCTTGTTTCTTTTGCAAGATCTGGCAACACTGATCTTTATGGTAAATGCTCCATACTCCAGAGCCAGCAGGAGTAACAGAGAGAGCAAGTCCGTTATTAATCTCCTTTTCCAAACAAAAGTACTAAATGCTGAAGTCTTACCGTAAAACTGGCTATGAGAAACACGTGTATGAAATGGGAACAAACAAAATACTGTACAGGGAATAGCTTCAGAGGTCGGCGAAGTTAGTGTGAGAATACGACTGCGAGTCTGTGGTAACATCCATATTTCAAAACAAGGTGTCTCTTTCTCTCCATAGCAACTCCCGCCCTTTGTGCAGCTACTTATGTCTCCATAGCAACTCCCGCCCTTCGTGCAGCTGCCTGTACCTCTGATATGATTTCTGACACATTCCCTCACAGGAAAAGCTGAACAGAAGTAAACTTCTGGTTAAAATAACAAATAAAGAGGTTCAAGAATATCTGAAGCAATACTTTAAAACTAAAGCTTTGACTTTGGTAGAAAATACATCAATATGTTGGTAAAATATCGAGCTAATGTATCGTGTATAATAACGGGAACGCTCCCCTCTCCCAGGCTCCCTGAATCAGGCTCCGTGCATTTACTGGAGAAAATTGGCACCTTGTTTAATCCTGGAGGGGGTCTGGGACTGAAAACCTTCTGATGTGGAGTTTGAGATTTTATTTACTGCACAGGTAAGTGATGTATGATTTATCTAAAGCGCCACAGTGTCTCAAACTAACTTTTACAAACACCTGGAGTTTTCTCTCCTCCATGAGCTGAAACGGAGCTAACTGTACTTTATGATAGCTGGAGTCTCCTGAGTCAGAGAGGTGTCAAACAAACCGACCTAATACTGATTATTACTGAGGATCATTTCATAAAAGATTATCAATATGTGACATTTACAGAGTTAGGACACGTTTAAAGACGTTTAAAATGCTCTACCTTGAATAATAGTTTGTGTCTGACATGTTTTTTACTGAAAAAAAAATATAAAACGAAGTAGAAATTATTATAATGACATCTCCTTACACCTCATGTAAAAACCCAGAACCTCTTCATGTGAAAACTAAATATTTCAATATGTTTCATTTGTTAAACTGTTGGACACAACACGTCTCCTACTTCATTGTAAAGTCTCAGTGTTTCTGTGTTTGTTGTTTCATCACACTGTACGTTTCATACTGCACTCTGATTGGCTCCTAACTAGTGATGACATCATGAATCCTGCAGGTACGTCCAGGTGTTATACTGCTGCTCTTTATGAAATCTGTGTTTATCCCTCATTCTCTTCTCTCTATATAACTGACTCTCAGTAGTTGACTCTATAACAGAGGCATTCAGACTGTGAGGAAAGCTGGCAGCAGAGACGTGAGGGCTGAAAGGGACAGGTGTGTGCAGGTGAAACAGGAAGTTAGTTATTGTAGTTTGTCAGCAGGGGGAGCTTCAGCAGTGACACACAGGTACTGTACATCACCTGTAGTAGTCCCTTCTTTAGTGCAGTCATACCTGTATCAGGTGTGAACACAGACAGATTTCAATTGGCTGTGACTGACACTTGAAATCTGCTTTGATGATAAGTGCAGAAGCTGCCTGAGAATCCTCATGTTTGGACGTTTTCTTCAGGATCAAAGTTATCCAGTGATATTTGTCTGAACAACATGAGAACAGAGCAAACAGGAGCTGCTAACAGCTCATTCAGCTCACTGTTCATGGATACTGTTTGACTAAATGTTAACCAATATAAAAAACAGAGCTTCACGTGTTGCCCAAAGCTAACTCACTGACTTCATGGAGACTTTTCACTCCATGTTTACATCAACAAAACCCTAAGAATCATGGGAAGTGTAGTCCAACAGGTTTACCCTGAACACTGAGGTTAAGTAAAGAATATTGGTTAAAAACTGTAAACTGAAGGGATGAACAGTCGTGTGTTTATAAATGATATAAAGTATAAAAAATACAAATATACTGACTGGATTCAGAGCAGAGTTTAAAGCTCTGTGATGAAATGCTGCTCAGCCTCTACTGAGCCTCCGACTTCACTTTTTATGTCCTCATGTTTCTTATGAAGGAACCAGATATTTTCTAACAGTTGTTTCTGTTTTTTACAGACGATCCATGCAGCCCTTGAACTCAGCACAGGTAAGAGTGTTAGCTGTGACTCACAGAGAACAGGAAGCTGATATCACCTCCAGGACACTCCACTGATGTATTGTGTTCACTTCATGTAGAACTGGAGTTATTTCACATCATGTCACCACAGAAGAAGAAGAAGAAGTCTAAATACACACCAGTTCATACACATGTATAAATGAAGATTCACTTGTTTCTCATTGGTCAGTTCTTTGTGACTCGGCCTGTCTGAGACTTTTATGAGCTGAGCCAAGAGTCTGTCTCTTCACTACACTCAGGTTTGTTTGGAGGTGTACAGAGCTATACTGCCCCCTAGAGGCAGAGAGCAGTAACTGCAGGTACAGTACAGGAAAAAACATTTTAAGTTTCCATGGAGACAAACAGGTGGAGAGGCTGTAATAGGTCTATTTAATGTGTGAACATCAGTGATATAAAAGCTGCTACAAACACAAACTATTGATTTACAGTCTAAATGTATCTCTGAGTATATTTCCATGGAATAAATCAACATATCATGATATTTAAATCTGTGATACAAAGGTAGTTTAAGCACCAAATCACATGAATTCCCCTCCAGGTCACTGAGATCTATGCTAAGCTAGTTAGCATCGTAATCACATTTAGCTGCTGCTTCATTTAGTCATGGAGAAAAAGACTGAACACAAGATGTGAGTTTAT